AGCCAGTCACCGCGGCATTCCAGAGAGGAACGAGCCCCTCCTTTGTTAGAAGAGCCCGCTGGGGCCAAGCACTGCCAGGGCGACACCCATCTCTGCCCAGGAGGCACCGCATCCCGCACAGTCAGGACCATAGAGCCGAGGGGGTTCAGGGCCCCTTTAAAGGAAGGTTTGTCAGCAGCAGCCGGTGGCTTTTCTTGCCCTGGGATGTCGCCGGATCTCTCGCTGGCTGCGGGACTCCTGCTAAGCCGGCGAATAGCTCTTCCCACGTGCTGACAAGGCCCCAGGTGCGCGAGCCGAGCCCCGCAGGTATTGCCATGGTGACACACCTGCAGCCCCACCCGCTCCCACAGCTCCCCTGAGCGCTGACATGGCTGCGCTGCGGGGGTGGAGCAACCACATCCTCCCCTAACGTTACAGGAACCAGGGGAGCCTGGTGGTTAACGAGCAGGAGCTATGAGACCAGGCTCAGCCACCAGCTTCCTTTTTCATCTCTCTGCCTGGGCAGAGCGTGCCAGGGCTTCTAGCCAGCTGCAGCCCTGTAGGGCAGGGTGCTTAGGGGGCCCCGGGGCTCTCAGAGGCTCCTAATGGCGCTAGCCTCCTCCATATCCCAGTGGGGTGGCTGCTGAGTGCAGGGCCGATCCGGACTGCGCGGCAGACGGCTGGGTCAGCATCTCCCTGCAGTTCTTTGCTAGAAGGGCTGGACAGCTCTGAGTGACCCACCCCAGAGAGTCCCCCAGGTCTCACAGGCCCGGCTGTGGACACCAGCTCGCTCGGAGGCTCAGGGCTTGGGAGCCATTAGACCACGCCAAGCCGGGGTGTGAATCTAGCCTGCCGCGGTCAGAGTGTCTGCGTGCGCCCTGCTGATGTGCGTGAATAGTTTGTTAGGACTAGATCAGCCGCCCTCGCTGACGTGGGACTCGCTCACAGGGCATTAAACCTTAACCCACGTCAGCAGGGTGCCCAGGAGTCTGCACCAGGCTGGCACGGGGGTGGATTCCCACCCCCGATTGCCAGTCTAGAGACAAGCCTTCTCTCCCCCTGGCTTGGTGCGTGTGACACACAGACCCCTCCTGGGCAGGTGAAGTGCTGCAGCGTCTCCCTAGTGCTCATCGCCCGCTCCTGACTTTCTGCCCTCACCCGTTAAACCGATAAAAATCAACAAGGCGACCCCTTGTGGAAACGGTTGGTCCCAGCCCCACCTGGAGCCCAGCTCCTGAAACCCTCTCAAAACCCAACGACGTTTATTGAGCTTTACAAAAACAGGCCCCCCATCAACAGCAGCAATGTACAAAACAAAATTTTATTGGATACGCAGTGACTCATCGGGGCGCATTCCCCAGCATGCTGCTTCGGCCCATCTACTACTTCTTACATGTCAAAACCTCGTTGTAAATCATGGCCAGGGCACCTAGGAAAGTGACGTACTCCTGGAAGTTGACTTCCTGGTCCTTGTTCCGGTCCAGATCCTCCATGAGCCGAACAATTTCAGCATCCTTCAGTTTCTAGAGCCAGAGGAAAGCACAGAAGCCAATCACAACCCAGGGAGGGGACAGTCTGGGTTCCAGGTGCACTGAGGGAGGGGGGATACATTGGTGCAGGGTTTAACATTTCCCAGAAGCCTCCTTTCCCAGCCCACAATTGCTGCTATGAGAGGAGAGCTTTTGGTGGTTGGGTTTAGCATGCAGGTGCTGGGGGGAGGGGGGATAGAGGGAGGGGGCTGGTGGCCCCTGCTATACAAGAAGTCCGCCTAGATGATCTGGTAGCTGTTCCCGCCTTCCACTCTATGACTAACACGGTGACTTGGGACCCCACATAGTTTCTTCCCGTCATTTTTTGTTGTGTAAAGTGCAAAAGACGCCCGAACAGCCTGGTACACACTGGGTGTCGCCGAGCAGGGAGCCCTGAGAGCCCCCTGAACCTGGGGGCAGTTGCCTAGGGGGCACTCTGCCAGCTGGGGATTGCTGGAGTGCAGCGGCACTCTGGCCACACACACCCCCTTCACCCTGCTTGTCCCCCGAGTGGGGGACACAGGAGCGGACTACACTAGATCTACACCCACGCCCGGGGAATTCTTAGCCAAGGAGATTTGCCAGGTTTGTGGCGGTCACAGTGATGCAGCAGGGGCGGAACAAGAGGCGGCTCTGGCCGCAGGCCGCAATATTTCTGCATTCACAGAGAGCTGCGAAGTTCTCCAGGAGGGGCTGTGGGCAAGGGCTCTGGAGTGGGACTTGGGGACGCAGGTTCTGGTCCCAGCTCACTTCCCACCTCTCGCCCCTCCTACGCTTGGTCTAGTTAGGGTGTGAGCGTTTCAGGGCAGGGGTTCTCGTTTGTACAGCACCTAACACAACAGAGTCCCAACCCCGCCCGGGGCCTCTCTGCACTAACGTAATGCAAACAACCCTAACGCGTCTCCTTCACTCACAGCAGAGCCGGCTGCAATCAACAGGGAGCTGGCCTGGGTCACTAATGTGCTTACGACGATAACAAGAACAGAGGATGGACTTTTCTGGGGGCTGATTTTCACCAAGTCCAACATGCAAATCCTCAAACACCTGTGACCCCGTCTCCAGCCACACTCACCGCCCCAATGGTCAGTTCCTTCTGGATTAGCTCCTTCAGCTCCTTCTTGCTCAGTGTGTGCTTGTCCCCTTCCTTTCCCGAGTACTTGTGGAAAATGCTGACCAAGAGCCCGATGGCCTGGTCCAGAGGTGATGCCATCTCTGCGGGTCTGTGGTGGGTAGATCTGAGGGGACCGAGGAGAAGAACACAGTCAGTGAGCGAGGCCAGGACACGGAGCCTCGGGGGAACAGAGGACCCGTTCTGGAAACGGAACCACTAGAACTGGAAGAGCAAAGCCAGCCCCAGAATCCCTGCCCTGGGGGGAAGAGACAAGTCCAAACGAACAGGACAAGCTGGGAAGTTTGGGGAACTCACCCTAACTCAGCCCCGAAGGACTCTGCTCTGTGAGCCACGCCCTCCCATCCAGGGAGCGCTCCACGGCACCTGGGGCCCTTTCCCCTGGCCTCCCGCCCAGCATCTCTCAGGAGGGCCGCATAAACGTGGCATTCCCAGAAAAACGGGGGGTGAGGAGTTTCTGCCCGTCTCAGCGCCCAGGGAGGGAGCCAACAGACAGCGGGCCTGGGGGGAAGGGACCTGCACAGAGTGAGTGGCCAGACTGAAGGATGGTCTCAAATTTCCACGGACCTTGGCCTTGGTCCGCTAGGCACTGAAGTCAGCGGCCAGATTCCCGAGCACTTGGACGCTGGGTGAGGCAGCCGCCCCCTCCCCGCTGGCGTTAGCCCCAGGGGTGAGCGCAGCCCAGAGCCCCGCGGGGGAAGGTCAGAGGAAGAGGAAAGGCTGTAGGTGACCAGACCCCAGGGTGAGGGGCTCTGTGGCACGGCCAGAGACCCCACAGGAGGGCGACCAAGGGCCAAATTCGGTCTCAGGTCTGTGTCCTTCCTTCCATACGGGCCAAACCTGCCCCACCCGTCTGCCCCCAGCGCCAGAGGCGCAGCCCCGGGGTCCCTCACTCCCGAGGGGTCTAAGCAGCAGGGGATTCATCCAGCCCCTCCACCCGCCTCTTTCCATGCAAGGGGGGCCCGGACCCCGGTTGTACAGCGAGTCGCGGGGAGGGGTCCAGTGTTTCCCCCGCCCGTTTCCACAAGGGGTCGCCAAACCCGACGCATTGGGCTGTGGCGCAGAGACTTGGCCGCAGACTGGGAGTCCCCCAGCCCCGCCCGGCTCCGGCGGAGTTTTCCTCCCTCTGCACCGAGCCGGGCCGGAGGGCGCAGATCCCGCGCAAAAGGGGCGCAGATCCCGCGCAAAAGGGGCGCAGATCTCGGGGTTCACACCCCGCGCAGATCCCGGGCGCAGCCGCTTCTTTGCTTGCGAGGCGCCCGGCGCGGAGCCGGGTTCGGACTGCCCGGAGCTGCGGACCGTGTGAACACGGATCGGGCACGGGCAAGCCCCGGGCAAAGTGGGGGCTGCCCAACCCGGGGGGCTGCCGAGCTCAAGGGAACGGACCCGGACCCTGGGGCTCAGCTGCGGGCAGGGAGGGGGAGCTAGTGCCGGGGCGGGAGGAGAGGAACGAACCGGACTCACCCAAGACAACGGAGCGGGCTGCGGGTGCGAAGGAGGCGCGGGGCTGGGGTGAGGGAGCCGCCCGCGGGCTGCCGTTATATAGCGGGCCGGAGCCCAGCCCAGCAACCCTGCCCACCGCCCAGGGGAGAGGGGGGCTGGGTGTGGCTTGGCGAGGCCACGCCCCTCTGCCCCCTAGCTCCGCCCACTCATGTGGCTGCCCCCAATATGCCCTGCCCTGTACATGCCCGGGGCCCCCTCCCTGTTCCCAGCCTCACCCAGCTTAGCCCCGTTCTGCTGCAGCAGCCCGTGCCGGGGTGGAGTGGGGAAGGCAAGGTGCGATCAGCAATGCAATGCAAGGAGCCAGGGGCACCAGCGAGGCAGGATAGCACCGGGGGGGCTGCCCTCAGTGACCCACAGGACCCCGATGAAGAGTGGTGGGAATTCCCCCAGACACACAGACCCCCCCACTGACCCCAGAGCGCCGCCCATCCCAGCCCAGCTCCCTCCCGGGAGCCTGGAAACCAGCCAAGGCCCAGGGTGTGTTGTTACTACAGTTCCAGGTGCCCTTGGGGCCATGACTGAGATCAGGGCCTCACCCACATCCTGAAAGGGACCCACTGGGAGTCCGGCACCTAAATAACGAGGCTCTGGGCCATTGCGCTGGGCCTGCAGAGACAGCCCCTGCCCCCGAAGCGTTTGCAGGCGAGATGGCTCGATCGAGGGGCATGGGGAATGGATGGACAGACAGGCGAAGAGAAAGGAGATCTTCGAGCCTGGCTAGACGGCACAGCAGGGTGGATGGAAGGAAACACATAACACTGGGACAACGGTGGACAGAAGGCTTTTTATTGAAAGCAGCCGGACAGTATCCAGAGCCAGGGGCTCTGGGTCCCGGTCTCAGTCCCCCCTTCCCCCCCGAGCTACTTGCTCTGTCCCCGGAAGAAGTCGTTGTAGGCCATACACAAGGTGGACAGGAAAACCGAGTATTCCTTGAAGTCGATTTCCTGGTCGCTGTTCCGGTCCAGGCTTTTCATGAGCTGCTCAATGCCGCCTTCCTTCATTCTCTGCAGGAAAGGGCGAGAGAAGATAAAAAGTGCAGGGAGCCGCTCTGGCCCTAGGTGCTGGTTTTCCTTTCCCGGTATTGTAATCTGGCTCGTTAACGATGCAGGAGTGTCGCTCCTGGGCTGCTGCTAACCATGCCGCGGAACAGGGAGGAGACGTTACCGGGACTTTCCCTCCCCGTCGGGCAGCTGCAAAATGGGAGCAAAGCTTGGGAAGAAAACAATCCCCAGGCCTGAAATGAGCACAGTGGGCAAAGATACCAGGCCAGATCCAGCCCTGGGGAAGGCATCCGTCCCCCAAGGACAGGGACGGGGGAGCTGCGTGTCTGAGTTCACAAGATCAAACTGATCCATTGGTTGGGCCAAAAAACTGGGGGGGGGGACTTTGAAACATGTTTGTATTTTCCCCCTATATTTCCTGTGGATTTTTTTTTTTTTTCATGTTTTGGACGGAAAAAAACCCCAAATTTTATTCAGTTTTCAGTTCTGCAAAAATCTCAAATCTGATCCGTTTGGGGAGAAACCCAGGAGAGTTTGATCCAAACCAAAATGCTCATTTTGATCCCCCAAATTCCTCATTTTTCACCCCCCCCCAAAAAAAAATGTTTCCGAAGCACTCACCTCCCCCAGGCCCAGTTCGTGCTTCACCAGCTCCTTCAGTTCCCCCTTGCTCAGGGTCACCTTGTCGCCTTCCTTCCCCGAGTACTTGTGGAAAGTGCAGACCAGGGTTCCCAAGGCCTTTTCCAGAGGCGTTTCCATGGCGCTCGTCCACAATGGTCTGAAAGAGAGAGCAGGGCCTGGCACGGTCTCGCGGCGAAACGGGGCCGCCACGGGAAGAACTGTGCACACAAGCCCCAGTGAGCAAGGCGCAGACAGGCTGTGGTGGGGCGGAGGGGGAGTGAAGAGACCAGCCCTGCCGCATTAATACTTCGCTTTCCACACAGCACTTTCCAAGTGCTCTCCGACCCATCGCTTCTTCTTCTGGGTAGGACCCACCAAGCTCGGGGCCCTGGGCACTGGGTCTAAACAGACCCCAGCCCATGTCACAGGTGGGTGACGGAGGCCCAGTCAGTGGTTTGCCCCAGGTCACATGCGGCAGAGCCGGGAATCAAACCCTTCTCCCGTGTCCCAACCCAGCGCCTTGACCACGAGCCCACCCTTCCTCCGATGCTGTTGGGCTGAAGGTGGATGCAGAGTCCAGAGCAGTAACAACGCTTCTCCAGCGCTTTGCACGTTTCAAGTGCTCTGTGGCTAACGTTAGTTACCAGGCACCCGCGCCTGTTACGCTGGGAGATGAGATGATTATTGCTAACGGACCAGGCTTTGGGTCTCCATAGAGAATTCTCACATACACCCCAAAGTCCCAGATGCTGGCTCAGGAATGTAACCCCACGTACCCCCAACCAGCCAGATGTGCACGCCTAGCCTTGTGCATCCAGCCAGATGTGCACACCTGGACCTGTGTATCCAGCCAGATGTGCACATCTGTGCCTGTGCACCCAGCCCCTGGAAGGGAGGGTCCCTTAAAGAGCGCCTTAGAGAGATCAGCATTCACGTCACACTCCCTGTCAGTACCCAGCCCAAGCCAGGGATGCTAATGATCCAATCGGACCAAATTTGGTGATGAATCCAGGTCACTGGCCACCTGCAGCATGTTGCACATACGCTAAGAAGAAGCAGTAAAATGCCACATTGTCCTATTCAAGAGACAAGCTGGGGGGGGGGGGGGAAGAATATCTTTTCTTGGACCAACATTTGTTGCTGAGAGAGACAAGAAGCTGGGACCTCACTAATACCCCGGGACGGACGTGGCTACACCACCACGGCGTCCTCTCCTGTCATCACGCCACCTCCTTTCTGCCCAGCGCTTGCAGCATCCGCCTGGCCGTGCCCGGTACCTGGGTAGAGCGTGTGAGCTGCAAGCAGGCTCCGGAAGGAGCTCTGATTCATGGCCTGGGGAGCCAGGGTGAAGTGGAGCCCGGGTGGCCAACCACATGCTGCATTAGAGGAAGCGGCCGCGAGGTGGTTAAGCCGGTTGCATCCGGTCCCTTCCGGGGCTGCCGGCTGCCTGTGCTGCCATGGTCAGAGCCCAGACCTGCTGGATACAGCTGTGACAGATGGGAAACGTGGGCACCTCATTCATATCCCCCGGGGGATGGCGCTTAGCTGTGCAGGTGGCGCTGTCCACGCCTTGCCGTGGCCTGCTTCTCGGCTAGCTCTCTGGTTACAGCATTGGCCTCGGGCCCAGGTACACCAGCGTCAATCCCCCGCTCTGTCACTGCCTCCCTGCACGACCCTGGGCACATCCCCTCGTCTCTCTGGGTCTCTGTTAATTGCCCATCCTTTGCCTGTCTTGTCTATTCAGACTGGAGGCTGTTTGGAGCAGGGCTTCTAAGTGCTACCGTAACAAGAAAATGGGAAGCTGCCGGGCAGGCGGATGGTTAATAATTAAGAGCGAGGATTATGAGGAAGGTCCTGTCCAGGGCCCCAGGGCAGTTGCTCATGCTGGCTTATCCATTTCCCTTATCACGGTGCTGGCTCAGAGGAAGTCAGGAGCTATAAAATACAGGCCTTAGTGCCTCAGAGCATTGCACATCCATTAAGCTGTAAAGTGAGTAAATACCAGCAATAGCAGTTAGCCACAGGGAGGGTGCGGCCGGGCATCTTGGGGCTAAGCCCTGCCCAGAGATGCAGAGCTGTTCTGTTGACTCACCCGAGCAATCAGAGCAGGTGGGTCTTACTGGCTGGGAATTTCAAAGGCATTTAAGGGAATTCGGTATCGAATTTTGTTGTTTTCCAATCAGATCTGGGTTCCTAACTCTCTCGGTCCCCGTCCCCTTCCAATGAAAATCCCACCAACTCAGATGTTGCAAATCTCTCCAGGACAGAGGGAACTAAGGGCAGCAGCAGGGGGGAAGCAGCCAAGCTCAGGATGAGTTAACAAGGCCGGAATCTCCCAGAACGGGGGGAAATGCCACCATGCCCCCAGCCTTCAGTGCCAACCCGGCCTCTGGAAAATGAGCCACAGAGCATCCAGGCAAACAGACAAACTGCTGCTGTAGCAGGCCAGGAATTCCCCCTGGGAATCTCAAGCCAACATTCCCACAAGGAGTTTAAAAAATCCTGGTTCCTCTTGGAAAAGTAGCTTTCCTTAGAGCCGGTTGGGAGGGAGAGAGTCCAAAGGGGCCACTGGATCCAGGATGCCAGGACTGGAGCCAGCAGGGCACCGCCGGGTGAGGCCAGTGCTGTTACGGAGTGTGCAAAGGAGGGAGCCAAGCCACCTTCCCTGGGACCCCCAGATGTTAGTGACGTAATCGGCGTGGCACCGTTATCTCCCAGCTCAGGAGCCGGAGCTGTGCCTGCACCAGCCAGAAAGCAGGTGAGATCAGGCGATGTCTAAGCAGCCAGCCAGGGGAGAACTGCGCCAAGGAGACTGTGCCAACGCCCAGAAGCATCTCAGAGCCAGCTCCCCTGCAGCTCAGCCCGCGCCTCCTGGAGAGTGACTACCACAGCTGGAGGGAGGCAGCCCCCTGGCACTGTGAATAACGGGGGGGAGGATGCACATCTGGAGAGAGGTCTGCACAGCTGTGGCAGGGATCCCCCAGCACTGTGCCTGCAAGGGAGGGTGTGCACATCTGGAAAGGGGCATGCACCTCTGGCGAAAGGGCCTTCTAACGCTGTGTGCCCGGGAGGGGTGTGCATAGCTGGGAAGGGGCATGCACCTCTGGCGAGAGGGCCTTCTA